AAAGAGAAGCTGAAAACAGTAAACCTTCCCACTTATCTGAAAAGTGGAGGGTCCGAACATTCCTCGAATTCAGCTGAAAAAGTTAACAAAGTGGAGAAACTACTCCATAATCAGCTGCCAAAAAATCTGCTCAATGAAGGCCGAAAAGAAGTAAGCATATTTAAATTTTAATTATAGTAGGGGTACTATTCAGTGAATTTCAAGTTTGAAATTGGCTACATCTCAAGCCATGTGATTGCACATACAGCAACATGCAGAGTACAGGCCAACAAAACCGTTATTGGGACCTTAACCCAGGTGAAGTGTCCTTTGAAAACCTCAATTATACTTGACTGGGACACACTGGAACATCATCACCCCTTATAAATCGATGTTAAATGCTTTTAATTCTTACATTTGTAGCACTTGGCCTCCTCTACATCTTTTTAGAGGTTGTATAGGCATTATGTATTGAAAGTCTACCTCTGTCATAAGTATAAATTATTAAATTAGGAGACTTTTTGTAAAATTGCCTACCTGTTTGCCAGTTAATTTGAGGAGAGATCACTTTGATGAAGGCTGATGAAGTTAGATGAAGGGAAATGAAGCTGGGTGAAGTTAGATGAAGGGAAATGAAGGTAGATAAAGTTAGATGAAGGGAAATGAAGGTAGATAAAGTTAGATGAAGGGAAATGAAGGGGGATGAAGTTAGATGAAGGTAAATGAAGGTAAATAAAGCTAGATGAAGGGAATTGAAGCAGGATGAAGTTAGATGGTGGGAAATGAAGGTGGATAAAGTTGCAGTACCGGTCAAAGGGATTACAGCACCTATATGCCCATAAAATGCGTGTAGTCTGCGTGTATTATTCGTGGACAGTACGTGTAAGGTGCATATAAGGTGCGTGTCAGTTAAGGTTACTGATCTGGTAGTTACATGAACTTGCGTGTAATTTCACATGTATGCGTGTATTTTAATTGGAGCAAGAAACCTATGTTATTCATACATGCATTTGCGTGTAATTTCACGTGTATGCGTGTATTTTAATTGGAGGAAGAAACCTATGTTATTCATACATGCACTTGCGTGTAATTTCACGTGTATGCATGTATTTTAATTGGAGGAAGAAACCTATGTTATTCATACATGCATTTGCGTGTATTTTGCAAAACAAAAAGCCACTACTAACTTGTATTCAAAACACGCAACTCTCAATGTTCACCACAAAAGTAAATTTAAAAGCCGACAAGCATTGCCAAATTAGTGAACTAGCTGGAGCACCTATCAAACAAATACTCTTTCTTAATCTGTAGCAGCCCGCACTTCTGCTTAACACTAAAACTGAATCCCTAAAGATCTCTGAGCTTTCGTTTACGTTACAACACATACAACGTACATCGCAACGTCATGTTTACCCACGCGTGAAATGTCATTTCAACTCCTGTTCCTTCGATAACAATGAAATCACTCCCAACTATGTGTAACAGCTTACGTTCTGCTGTCGCTGTCGTGCCAGTTCTCGATCGTGTTGTTCAGTGTTGTAGGATGGAACTGCGACCTCAAAAAGAAGCGAAGCGATGATCAAGTTTAAAGGACGACTTGGAATGAAGCAGTACATGCCGCTGAAGCCTGTAAAGCGGGGCATCAAAGTGCAGGTTTGCGCCGAAGCATCGAGCAGCTTTGTTTATGATTTTCAAGTTTACACTGGGAAGAGACAAGATGGCGCGGCGGAACAGAACTTAGGTTATTGTGTTGTTCACGATTTACCAAGGAACTTTACGGGCAGGAATCATCATGCCTTTTACGACAATTTTTTCTCGACTGCTAAGCTTGTTGAAGACCTGCTGGAGGACGGTATTTATTTGTGTGGAACTGCGAGAGCGAACAGGAAAGACTTTCCGAAGGAACTTGCAGCAACTAATCATGATGTCAAACGCTTGAGGCAAGGGGAGGCGCTGTTTCGCCGAAAAAACAATGCCGTTGCAACTGTGTGGAAGGACAAAAAGATTGTACATTTTCTCAGCACAAAAAGTAATCCGGTGGGAGATGATACGGCAACCATAAACAACGCGACAGTACTGTTATTCAAGTGCCAACTGTTCCTGTTGTAAAGAGCTACAACAAAAGCATAAGGAGTTTAAGACCCTCAGGATCAGATGCGTGGTTATTACGCTATTGGAACAAAGTCAAGGAAATGGTGGTGCTATCTTATCTGGTTTTGTGTGGGTGTGAGCATTGTTAACACGTTTATCTTAGAGAAAAAGGTTCAAAATCACAAGTCGAGAACTCAACTTGCATTTCGAGTTGAACTTTCGAAAGATCTCATTGGGGACTTCAGCAACAGGGGAAGAACGGCAAGTTCTGGGCAGTCAGAGGCTGGGCATTGGCCCATTCCATTTCACAAGGGGCGATGCAAACGATGTTTGAAGCGCAAGAAAACGACTCTTTGTCAAATGGGCTGCCAACAATGCAACAAGCGCATTTGCTTAGAATACTTTGCCAACCACATTGGTGACCTCGGCTAAATGCGTCCGAAGCGTGCGAAATTCAAACAAGACAAGTTGAACATCTGGCGTCGATTTTCTTCAATTGACTGGACTTGAGACATTACTTGACATCTATTTTATTGTATAGAAAGATATTAATTGTAATTTTAAAGTTTTGTTGTAGATTTTACTTCAATTGTATTCTTGAATTTTTGCCGTTTTCATTTTGAAGTTCATTGCAAATAATGAACATTTTCCCGTTTGTTCAATATTTAGCTCACTCAAACTTGATCTGCAATTGACTGTTTGCTCTAAATAAGGTCTAGAATTAAAGATTATTTCCTGTTGAACATTATTTGTCTGAAGTGTTTTATCTTTCACTCTTTAGTTTTGGAGATAAAAGATATTTTTTAAGACATGGTGACAACAAGACATCTAGATCCTGCCATATCAGTTCGGGTCCGGGAGTAGGGGGCTTTTGTTACATCAGTTTCCAGTGCTACACCGACCACCTTGACCGAAGCACTTGAGCCTCTAGGCTCATCCTCGTCAGTCATCCTCTGTAAGTCGTGGAATAAGGGGCGTTGCACGGCCCCGTTCGCATCCTGCCGTTACTAGGGACTTTAAGCAGCGGGAACGCGGACGGCGACGGGGACGCCAAAACCTGTGAGAAGGCT